TCCTCGATGTTCCTAGAGTTCTATTCGATGTAATCACTTTTGCGGTGTGTTCGTTGGGATCCGATGAATTGTGAGTTTATGATCAGATTATCCATGAATATTGTATGAGTTTTTCTGAAATCTTTATGCATGATTATTATAGCTTCGTATTTCTCTTCGATCTATTGATTTCATTTGGGCAACTAGATTAATTTTTCTTGCAATGGGAGAGGTGCTTTGTGATGGATTCGATCTTGTAGTGCTCAAACCCAGTGACAGAAAGGGGCATGACACGTATTTGTATCATTGTCATTAAGATAAAAAGATGGGGAGTATTCATGCGTGAGTTTACTTTGTCTACATCATGCCATTTTTCTTAAGGCGTTACTCCGTTCTTTATGAACTTAATACTTTGGATGCATGCTGGATAACGATTGATGTGTGGAGTAATAGTAGTAGATGCAGAATCATTTCGGTCTACTTGTCTCAGACGTGATGCCTATATACATGATCATTGCCTTGGATATCGTCACGATTGTTTGCTTTTCTATCAATTGCCCAACAGTAATTTGTCTAACCACATTATGCTATTTTCAAGAGAGAAGCCTCTAGTGAAAACTATGGCCCCTAGGTCTACTTTTATCATATATTTAAAATCCTAATAATACATTGGTGTAATTTTATTTTATTTATTTTATTTTGTATTTTTGTTCAATCTGTCTATCAATCACTACACAATTTAACCTTTAGACCAAGCCGAGAATGAATCCTTCTCATCTTTGTTCCTTTCTGTCTAGTCTCACAAAGGAACACCAACATGGGGGAATGCGACTGAGTAATAGTTGGAGCAGGTCATGCAAAAGTTGGGTTTCTCTCGCCATTGCGTGGAGTGGATAATGTCTTGTGTCACGTCGATGAGGCATTCTATCAAATTAAACGGGACCCTCTTGGATTAATTTGCACCGCCGCGTGGTCTTCGGCAAGGCGACCCTCTCTCCCCGTTTTTATTTCTGTTTGTGGCTGATGGTTTATCTCCAATTCTCAATCATAGTGTTTTGGCGAATGAAATTACGCCTATTAAGGTATGCAGAAGAGCTCCTGGTATTTCTCATCTATTGTTTGTTGATGATACAATGTTATTTTTTAAGGCTTCTCGTGTTCAAGCCGAAAGAATTAAACATGCTCTGGGTCTTTATAGCAATGCAACGGGACAAAGTTTAAACTTTAATAAGTGCTCAATACTCTTTGGTAGTTCAGGTCATGTTCTCATGCATGAGGAAGTTAGAGAGGCTTTGAATGTTACTACTTTGGTTTTCGAGGAGAAATATTTGGGTCTTCCAACTCCTGACGGTTGAATGTCTAAAGGAAGATTACAAAATTTGCAAATGAGGTTGACCAAATAACTAATTTAGTGGGGGGGAGGGGTGGACTTCTTGCTCAGCCTGGCAGAGAGACACTTATCAAATCGGTTGCTCAAGCATTGTCGACATATATCATGGGTGTATTCAAATTGCCATTCTCGGTATGTGATGAATTCACCAGGATGGTGAGAAGCTTCTATTGGGGTTCTGCTGATGGTAAGAGGAAAGTACATTGCCGTGCTTGGGACGATTTAATGCAACCAAAGGATAGGGGTGGGGCTGGTTTTCAAGACTTCCGTCTCTTTAACCAAGCTCTACTTGCTTGACAAGCATGGATACTAATTTCTGATCCCAATAGCCTATGTGCTCGAGTTTTGAAAGCTAGATATTATTCGAAGGGGAAGTTGGAGGATACGTTTTTTACTAGTAATGCATCGTCTACATGGCAAGCAATAAGTTATGGTCTCCAGCTTTTGAAGAAGGATATTGTATGGAGAGTTGGTAACTGCAGGAGCATAAGCGTGTGGCGTCATAACTGGATTCCGAGGCCTTTCTCGTTTTTTTAAGAAAAGAAGAATGACCCCCGACCTCTGCATCTGGGCGATGCATACGGCCACTTTATTAATTATTTTCACAAGACCTTACAAAGTCATACAATAATAAGACTAAAGCCGCCATCTAAGCAACAAACTGTCACTACACCTATCCAGTTGATGAAGGGGCGCAGATAGTCTGGGCTAATACCAAACAGACATCACAGCCAAGCCTAACATCTAAGACCTGAAACCTCAACTTAGTCACTTGCCGGGTCTGGGGCACACACTGGTCTGGCGTGCTCTCAGAGGCCGCCACCGCCAACTGCCACCACTCCATCTTCAGAACTGTACTGATGCATCAACCTTGCTCAGTCTAGCTATCGTCGACGCCACCACGGCGCCCAACGGCACCTCCTTCCTGCACGCAAACAGCTGAGCACGTCGCGGTTGCCACTAATACACCTCAGCGCCATGCTACCAAGTACCACCAGCCGACACAGCTTGAAGTCCTTGGAAAATCTGTCGTGCGTAGCACCTGCCGACCAGGTATGACAAAAGCGTAGCACCTGTCGGTCAGGCATGACTTGACATCTCCACCGAAGCTCCGTGCAAGACGAAGCCGCTCCACCTCCTGCCTCTGACTTCCAGCGCTGCTCCACAAATGATGCTCCCAAAAGAGAAACGACACCGCAGTGCCGCCATCGTCCGATTTGGAACACCAGATTCTAGGGTTTCCCCCGGAGCAGCACGAGTGGGTCGACAGTAGTTACACGACGATGCCTCCATCAAGGTAACGGCGAGAACGCCGCCATCGCCTGTCGTCGGCTCGGTTTTCACCGGCAACCATGTCTCCCCTACTCGCAGTCGAGACTAGATGATGGATCTCGAGATCCGATCACCAAGCCTCTGGCCGGCCATCTCTGGAAGAAGATGACCACCACGTCCACCAGCGTCACCACGCCGGGCATGCGTCGCCACCGGCACCCCCATGGTGCCTAGAGGCCGACAAGCCCCGACGAACACCATGCCTCGCTAGCCGCCATGGCCCAGACCCAAGCACCACCAGATGGATCGTGGTCAAGGGCCCCAAGCCGCAGCCGCCGCGGAGGCGGCACCACGGACGGTGCCCTGCCCTCCACCCCGCCGTAGGACCGAGTCATCGCCGGAGCTCCGCCGCGCCACGCCGCCAAGCCGCCACCGGAAGAACTCACGCCGCCGCCAGGGG